CACACCCACGACAGGACGCGGTCCAGCACAGCACTCGGTGCACTGCACGGCGCACGCAAGAAAACGGTTGACTGGTGATACGGCGAGGGCGATGCCGCGCCGCCGGACTGTCGCGCCAACCAGGCGCCGCTGCGCTCTCGGACGGCTGCGGGCTTACGCTCTACGCTCTTAGCTCGGCGAAGGTTTGCTTGCTTATGCGCTTTCCGTCCGTGTAGCTTGTGCGGGGGATCGTGGAAATGACCCGCTGAGCCGGTACTTAGACGACGACAAGACTTGCGCAGCAGCAGCACGATTGGTTCTGTTGCCGAGGCCCATCGTCTCCACGCTTCGTGCTGAGTCGTGATCCTCAATCGATCATCTCGATGCCAGCGCGAAGACCTCCAGGACACACCACATCATGGACTTGGCAATATGGTCGAGGACGATGACTGGAGGGGCACGTTGCGGGTGTTTCAAGTGTGCGTAACGGCGTCGATAGACAATCTCTGCTGTACACGGCTGACATGGCATTCTTGAGATCGGCATCGCTGACGGCCCTGTGAGATGCAGACTGATCGAATGCCAGTCCTACAAGTACGCTCCTACGATGCCTCATCATTGGCAACACCGTCCCGCTCACCGTCATGGTCGCGCCGGTTGACTTTAGACTTTGGGGGCTTCATGTTACCCCACGGACGCTGACCAGGAAAGGAGAAGGGGGGAGGAGTACTCGATTGACGGCTCCAAGCACCCGACAGCCTTCAGAACTCTTCTGACTGCTCGTACCGCTCCCGTTATGCCTGATTCGAGGCCCGCATGCGAGGCGCCATGACCCCAATGACCTCATGAATTATCTCGACTGCGCAGCGAACGTACTCGAGCCCGCCCAGCGACCCGTTCTGCCGTCCGTGTGAAACCTTGACAGAGTCGAAGGCCCTCGACAGAGTCGGCCTTTCTGACGTCGAGCACAGCAGGGCAAATCTAACAAACTTTACGCTCGGTCCTGACCCGCCAGCACGGTCCCACCCCGCGGGCTCTGCGACCGCCGACGCCGTCCGCTTGCCCGCCGCGGGATTCCCTTTTCCAGCCCTTTCCTGGCGCTAACCCACTCTGTTGCCGCGCCCCGGAGCTTCGTTAAGACCGAAAGCCATGATTTCTTCAGACGAAGCCCGAAGGTGAAAAAAAAGATTTTTTTTTTCGACGTGCGAAGGGGAGAAGGAGGGTGAAAGGGCATACAGATGATCCGGGCGTGCCATGCTTGCGCAGTCAGACCTGACCCGTACCCTACTACCATGCTAGTCCGAGGAGTACATGTGCCGCTCGTGGTTCCCCTTCGAGTCAGACAACTTGGTCAAAGAGGGAAAAAAAAAAAAAAGTTTAGATGTACAGCAAAACGGGATCTCGCGGTACAGTTTCGGCAGTTGAGGTCGTTCCTTGCAGAAGCGCTGGGTGGGAAAAGAGAAGGGGTTGGCGCGTCGCGGATGTTTCCCGGCCCCCTCGCATTTCTCCCTCCTTCAATACGGGCAGGGGACATACATGGTAGCCCACCACACGACTCTCGCAAAAGGACGCGGTTGGCTGTTTTGCTCCAAGTAAGCTTTTTTTTTTGCTGCGTGTTGTTGATCTCTTCGAAACGACCCTCCATCCCGGGCCCCGAGAGTCAGGTCCTGCGCTCATCATCGACGACGACGTTGCAGGGCCATTTTCGTGATCGATGGCACCCTAGGTGTGCCGCCCGCGCACTGCTCGCGCGGTGCCGTGGTGCAGGGCGCTCGTTGATCCGGGACGGACGGGATCTCGATGGACAAGGTCGCACCCGCCCTTTGGGCAAGGTGACATTGAAAGGGACAGGGATCGGAGAAGGGGAGAAAGGTGGCGGAGAGAAACAGCGAGGAGCAGTCTGGCGCATTGTGTGTTGTGCCAACGCAGGCCAGCCGAGTCGCGCTGCGCCCTTGGGGATGCGATGTGCAACTATGTTTCCCCCCCTTTTGTCGCGAGTCACCATCTGCTTCTGCTTGTGCTTCAGTCTCTGCTTCAAGAGGAACGCCCCGTGTTGGATGTGTCTCTGCTTCAAGAGGACCGCTCCGTATTGAATGCGTCTCTGCTTCCATGAACGCGCCGTATTGAATGCGTCTCTGCTTTAATGATGCCGTATTGAATGCGCGTCGTCGATCGCGCACGCTCCCCCTTTCCTCCACTCACTCGTCGACGGCCTCGACATCGGCCCCCGGGTTCGGCATCTGCGTCGAGCTGATCCAGTTCTCCATGATGGCCTGACCAGCGGGCGCAGCAGCCCCTGGCGCAGCCGACGCAGCGGACCGCCCCGAGGATGCCGGGGCCCTGTGTGTGTCGCGCCTCTTGACCACGAGGCACAGTACGCGTCCGTGGATGGCAAAGCCCTCAAACGAGACGTCCATGGCCATCTTCTTCTTGTCGTCGCCGTCATCGCCCTCATGGTCGTGACCGCCACGTGAGCCGCCCACCGCCTTCTCGGCACCCTCGGGCGGGCTCTGCTCCTGCTTTTTCCGGCGCTTCGAGGGCGGTGACGCCTCGGGCTCTTCGGGATGGTCGTCTACGAAGAGCCCGTCGTCGTCGTTGTCGTCGTCGTCGTCGTCTTCGCTCTCGTTGGCATGTTCGTCGGCTCGTTCACCGCCAGGCTCGTCGTCCGATGTCGACGCAAACTCGTCGTCGTCAGGGACGCCCGTGGGGGCGAATGCACGGCGTCGCTTGGCGGGTCGCGCAGGCGGTGGCCCGTCGTCTTGCCGCGTGGGTATCTCGGCCAGCGCAGCCACGGCGTCTTCGTCGTCCGACTCTTCGCGAATGGTGATGGTGCCCTGCTGCTGCTGCTGCTGCTGCTTCTGCTGCTGCTGCTGCCGCCGCCGGCCCAAGAAGGCTTCGACGTCGACGGGCGCGGCATTCGTCTCGGCAATAAGGCGGCCCTGCACGGCGGAGCCTCGACGCGCGAGGTCCCCGGCGTCCTTGTCGCGAAAGCGGCGCTGCTTCGCGAGCAGGGCGTGGCGCGTCGGCGTCTCGGTCAGGAAGACGGAGACCTCGAAGCCGTCGCCGGCGACGACGTCTTTGATCTGGCGCCTCTTGGCCGTCTTCTTGCGGGCGCGGGCGCGGGCCTGCTCCTCGCGCAGCTTGGGCAGCACGAGGGGCCGCACGGCGTCCATGACGCGCGGCAGCACGGGGTCGCGCGGGTGCAGCAGCCAGGAGGCGGCGAGGGCCGGGTTGTCGAGGTAGATGCGGCACTCGAGGACCGAGTATTTGGTGATGCGGAGGTAGCGGCGGACGGGGGCCATGGCGGGGGGCTTTCTGTGCGTGTGCCCTCGCTGTGCCCTCGCTTTGGTGCCCTCGCTTTGGTGTGATCGTGAGGAGTTTTTCGCTGCTTCGGTGCTTTGGCTGCTTTGGTGATGCTGTCGAGGTGATGCTTTGGTGATGCTGTCGAGGTGATGCTTCGGTGATGCTGTCGAGATGGGATGTGCCCCAGGGCAGAGAGCACCGGCTGAGGCGCGCAGGGAGAGACGCGGCGGGCCATGACGATGATGACGGGCTGTGGACCCTGAAGCCCCACTGGAGCTTCGCTGCCTTCGCTGCCTTCGCTGCCTGGCGCTTCGCCGCCTGGCGCTCGATTGTCCGTGTCCGTGCGTTTCTGCAGCAGGACGCTGAAGCCGTGATATGGAGTATGAAATGCAGCAGGTGTTTACTTGCTGGTGTTTACTTGTAGGTGTTTACTTGCAGGTGTTTGCTTGCTGGAGTCTATGGGGGATGTACCTGGCGTATTTCATGTCGCGTCCTGGCTGACATGGTGGCACTTCATTTCATTGACAAGATTCATTGACAAGATTCATTGACGAGTTGAACCACGAACTTCATTGACCATAACCAGACACCATTCATGTAATGCCGGTAGTAATAATCACAATCTAGTAAATCACGTTGGGGAACATAGTAGCAGGATGAAAGACATGAGTAAAGCCCACTACATCCAAACACAGGGATCAGACAGACCCCGAACTTCGGAACTCTCTCCTCACCTCGTCCCTCAAATCAATGAGTTGTCCTACTATACGGTACATAGGCTTACACTAAGGAAAGTAGAATCGTGCTTGCGTGTGTCGCCGATGATCGAATAAGCAGAATTGTAGAAAAATGAAAAAGGAGCTCACCCTTTATACGTGTGGCTTTTCATCACCCCTTGACATGGGTCAACATACAACGCCTGCTGCCGGCCTGGCTGATGAGGTGTCTTGGCCATGCATGAAAGTCAGAGACGAGGAAGAGGAGACGGCAGACATGTGCATGATAGAGTCTCTAGGGAAGTGCAAGATAGAGAGGCAACAGAGGTTTGATAGGGGGGGAAGGAGCTGGTCGGACGCCAGGTCTGTATCTGGGGGTGGCCTTGCCTTGCCTTGAGGGGTCCTGAAAGAGGAAAGAGGAAAGAGGGGAAAAACATTGGGCAGAGTGCGGTTTTCTTGTCCTTTTTTCCTGTCTTTCTTCCTGTCTTTTTCCTGTTCTTTTTCTTGTCTTTCTTCCTGTCTTTCTTCCTGTCTTTTTCCTGTTCTTTTTCTTGTCTTTCTTCCTGTCTTTTTTCCTGTCCATGTTTCTCTGGGCCTCGAGGCATTCGTCAACTAGGAGAAGGCAGACCCGACAGAAACGACAGATGGATGCCTCTCACCCTGCCGCGAACAGATGCCACGTCAACCACGCAACCGTGGAAAAATAGGTTTTCGGTTCTACATCCTCGCTTCTCTCTCTCTCTCTCTCTCTAGAGAAAGAAAGAAAAAAAAAAGACCTCCTCACTCTACAGCGACGGGCACATGGAGCAAACATATAGCAGCCAGTCCTCCAGTGGAGCGCCAACAGCTGCCGCCCCACTCAAAAATTGCCTGACAGATCAACCGCGACGACCGCGACAACGTCAACGCCAACGTCCATCCCCGACCGTGATCGAACCCACGACCCACAACCCACGAAGCGCAGACCCCCAGCTATGCGCCACAGAAGATCATGTCAAAGTCATGGACATCAACCCTGAGGTTGCCCAAGTCCACCTTGCCGTGAGCCGCCCCTCCCCCTACCGCCGCACCTCGACACGTTCCAGCTAACCGCCCGGTCCATCACCCGCAGACCTAGGCCCCTGCCCCAGTTCCGCGCCGAATACCTGCGACGATGCACCGATGACCTCTACAAGTGGCAGGCGGCCCATCGCACCGGTGACAAGCTCGTCTTGCACGACGGCCCCCCCTACGCCAATGGCGGCCTCCACGTCGGCCACGGCCTCAACAAGGTCCTCAAGGACATGATCCTGCGCGTCCAGGTCCAGGAGGGCCGCCCCGTCGAATACCGCCCGGGCTGGGACTGCCACGGCCTGCCCATCGAGCTCAAGGCCCTCAGCGATGCCCAGGGCAAGGGCATGACCGCCGTCGAGATCCGCACCGCCGCCCGCGCCCTCGCCGCCAAGACGGTGCGCGAGCAGATGGACGGCTTCCGCTCCTTCGGCGTTATGGCCGACTGGGACGCACGCTGGACGACCATGGACCCCGACTACGAGATCAGGCAGCTGCGCCTGTTCCAGCAGATGGTGCGCGACGGCCTCATCTACCGCAAGCACAAGCCCGTCTACTGGTCGCCCTCGTCGCGAACCGCCCTCGCCGAGGCCGAGCTCGAGTACAACGAGAACCACGTGTCGACAGCGGCCTACGTCCGATTCCCCATCATCGCCGCTGACGCCGTCATGGACGAGCTCCGGCGCGCGCGCGCAGGCTTCGAGGGCGGACACCTGTACGCCATCATCTGGACGACGACCCCCTGGACCCTGCCCGCCAACAGGGCCATGGCCGTGCACGACGAGCTCGACTACGACGTCGTCGCCATCCGCGGCGACGCCTACATCGTGGCCCAGGCCCGAAGCGAAATCCTCGACACCCTCTTTCCCGACACCCGCCGCGAGATCCTGTGGTCGACCAAGGGCGCCAACCTGAAGCAGCTGCGGTACGCCAACAGGCTGCGGGGCAGGGCGGCCGCCTCGCAACCCGTTATCCACGCCGACTTTGTGTCGGCCGACTCGGGCTCGGGTCTCGTGCACTGCGCCCCCGGCCACGGTTTCGATGACTACGCCGTCTGCTCTGGCCTGGGCATCGACGCCGCAGCCCCCATCGACGACGAGGGCCACTTCACGAGGGACGCCTTCCCCGACGCCCCGGAACGCCTCACCGAGGCCTCTCCGATCCTCAAGGGCGGCAGCAAGGCCGTGCTGAAGCTCCTCGAGGAGCACGCCGACGTGCTGCACGTCGAGAAGTACAAGCACAAGTACCCTTACGACTGGCGTACCAAGCAGCCCGTCGTCATCCGCGCCACGCAGCAGTGGTTCGCCGATGTCGACAGCATCAAGGACAGCACGCTCGCCGCCCTCCGAGACGTCAAGTTTGTGCCCGACGCCGGCCGCAAGAGGCTCGAGAGCTTCGTCGTCGGCCGGAGCGAGTGGTGCATCTCGCGCCAGCGCGCCTGGGGCGTCCCCATCCCCGCGCTCTACGACGCCGAGGGACGTGCCGTCGTCACCGACGAATCGGTCGACCACATCATCTCGGTCATCCGCGCGCGCGGCATCGACGCCTGGTTCGCCGACGCACCAGAGGAGCCCGCCTGGATTGCGCCCTCCCTGCCCCGCGGCAACACCACCTACCGCCGCGGCACCGACACGATGGATGTCTGGTTCGACAGCGGCAGCAGCTGGACGCAGAGCGAAGGCCAGGCCGATGTCTACCTCGAAGGCTCCGACCAGCACCGCGGCTGGTTCCAGTCGAGCCTCCTCACCTACGTCGCCGCGCAGAGGCAGAAGGCCTCTGCCGCGCCGTCGGTCTCGCGCGCGCCCTTCAAGACGCTCGTCACCCACGGCTTCACCCTCGACGCCAAGGGCAAGAAGATGTCCAAGTCCCTGGGCAATATCATCTCGCCGGCCCAGGTCATGGACGGCACCCTCCTGCCGCCGCTCAAGCTCCGCGGCGAGGCGAAGAAGGCGGCCAAGGGTCCCGTGTACGACGCCCTGGGCCCCGACGCCCTCCGCCTGTGGGCCGCCTCGTCCGAGTTCACCAAGGACGTGGCCATCGGCGCGACGACGCTCCAGTCGATCCACTCGGTTCTCATCCGCTACCGCACCATCCTGCGCATGCTCCTCGGTTCCATGCACCCCGCGGCCCGCACCGCGCCGCTGACCGCCGCCGACAGCATCGCGCTCGTGCAGCTCGAGGACGTGACGGCCGACGTGCGCGCCGCCTTTGCCGCCCACGAGTTCTACAGGGCCTTTGCCGCCGTCAACCGCTGGGTCGCCAACGACCTGTCGGCCTTCTACCTCGAGGCGTCCAAGGACAGGCTCTACTGCGGCGACGGCGGCGGCGTCATCGAGCCCGTCTTCCACGGCTTCCTGCGCATGCTCGCCCCCATGGCGCCTCTCCTGGTCGAGGAGGCCTGGGCGCACCGGCCCGCGTGGATGCAGCGGGACGCCTCGCTCACGCACCCGCTCCACGCCCTCGCGTCGACGCCCCTCTTCGACCCCGCCCGCCTCACCCACGACCCGGCCGCCCTCCGCGCCGACCTCCCCCTCCTCCTGTCTGTGCACGCCGCCGTCAAGGCTGCCCTCGAGCGCGCGCGCCTCGCCAAGAGGCTCGGCTCCAGCCTGCAGTCCGCCGTCGTCGTCTCCGTGCCCGCCGCGCCCTCTGCCGCCGTCCTGGCGCGGTACGCCGCCGACCTCGACGCCCTCTTCGTCGTGTCGTCTGTCGAGGTGCGGGTCGGCGCCGCGCCGCCCGAGGTGCCCTTTGCGCAAGAGTTCGAGGCCGACGCTGGCACCAAGGGCGTTGTCAGTGTGCTGCCGCCCACGGGGTGCAAGTGCTCGCGGTGCTGGCGCTACGTCGCCGAGGCGGAGGACAGTCTCTGCGGAAGGTGCGAGGAGGCCGTCGAGGCGCTGGAGGCGCTGGAGGCCGTGGAGGGCCAGACGTGAGATGACTACGTGTAGGATTGAAGTAGGAGGGCCTGGGACGTTGCTAGAAACGTCTGGCGCCCTGTGGTGTATTTTTATGTAGATGATTGTACAAATAGATGGGTAGCCCTCTTTTCTGGATCACTGCTCTCGGCTGCCTGTGCGGGTTGTGTAGGACGCTTGCAGTTCTTTTGCTTTGCTATCTTGTTTTTTAGAAGCTGGGTGTCATCGCGAGTCTGAACGGCAATTTCTTTTGAGAATTGAGGCGGTTCTGCAGACTTGATGCTGCCGATCAGAAAGGCGCTGAAGACACCAATGACACGAAGCCAGCACCATCAGCTTCACGCGACGCTCTGCTTCTACAAGCCTCATCAACGGTACTGCAAAACACACGCGCAAGTGGCGATGGGAGCACAAGCCCTACAGGGCACTTGATGCGCGCCGCTTGTCAACCCTGTTCGTCACCTGCCCCAGACCTCGACAGACCTGCCGTCGGCCCTCCACAGAGCATGACGTGATCGATATCGACGCTCCCAGCCTGCGAATCTATCACATACGACCATACCCATTGGAAAACTTGGGATCCCGTCCGCTCTCCCCTAAATAAGCCAATAAGGGCCGGATCAGTAGTTGGGTGGGTGACCACCAGCGAATACCTGGTGTTGTATGTTTTTTGTTTTTGCTGGGGAGGGGGCTGGGGGGTGACGAGTGTCTTGTAAGATTCTGATGGTGAGCCTTGTAAGAGTGTCTGAGCGTTGTTTGGAGCAGAGTGAAGAGGTCTTCCACGCGTAGTCCGCAGGGGAATGGAATGTAGGTAGGGGCTGGAACGCATCTGAATTCTGGGCCCTCCGTAGTCTAGATATACGTTTCCCGGTACCTGAGCCCCTATCCGGCCCCCTGCTTGGCGGCTCCGCAGGGCCGTCTGACAAAGAGTTTCTATGAACTAGTCGTTTCTTGGTGTAGTTGTGAGTGTATTTTGAAAGTGCGGATAGAGCTGTCTTTATGAAAAGACGGATGCCTACGGTCTCCGCCATATATCCGAATGAGTACCCCGAGCGGGAAGATCATCCGCACGTGATATCCGCAGTCAACTATAAGAGGGAATAAGAATATATCGAGATATCAGTCCTCACAGCTACGAGCCCTCGGCAGCCCTTGATACGCATTCTCGTAGTCCCTAGCCCTTGTCCCGCCCTTGCTCCGTGGCTCCGCGGGCCCCCTGACAGCTATCCGTGTCGTTGCTTGAGCTGGGGCAGAGTGACGGGGTCTTCTACACAAGGTCCGCAGGCAGTAGAATATACGTAGGGGGTCGGAACATATCAAATTCCAACCATCGTAAACAAGAGGGCTCTCCATAATCCTTATATATACGTTCTTATCGCCCTTGGCCCCCCTAACCGATCCCCTGCTTGGTATCTCCGCAGGGCTACCGGACAGTCCGGCTGGTCTGGCATGGCTTGAGTTTATGAGATGGACTTTTTGTGCCGCACAGAAGATCATGGTGACTGTTTCAGAGCCTCCAGTACTGCAAGACACTGCTGCACGTCTAGACAAGCCGGTGGGGCGAGAACCCGGGCCAACAAGCCAAGAGCTGCTGGTCTTCCTATGACGATGTGTCAAAGGCAGAGGTGCACCAATCGTTTTCACGTGAATCTCAACGCGTCGCGATCAGATAGTGCCGGATGAGCACATGACGACTTATGGACAGTAGGAGCCTGGGCTTTTTGCTGCGCCCCTACAAGCTTGTCAACGCGCTCCCGTGGGAGTTTCCCCGGCAAAGCGGCCATGTTTTACAAAATCCGGCTGCTCAAGTTCATGCTTCGCAGCAGCTCCTGACAGGAGATGAAAATTCTGCCAATATATTTCCTCTCGGCTTTCGTCTGGTGTTGGCTCGTCTCATCGTCCGTAAGAAACGTCAGTGCCTTGAAAAACGCAGGTCTTGCCCACATCCTAGGTTTGATGCGAAAGCTGATTTGGACGAAGTGCCTCACTCCCTGATGCGAAAATCCTCTTCTCGATGAAATAGTGTTCATATGATAAATAACACAATGATAGGCGGGCATCGTAAGTGGTCAGCGGCCCGACGAGCCAGGTTTTCAGTCTGTCTCCTGGTGTTTATCGCATGCGTTCATGTGAACAATGGGCGAAGTCGAGACCACGAACGGACGAAAGAATCGATGTGTCTGCAGCGGCTCAAAGCGTCACTGTCTGCAAGGCAGAAAAGGTCCGAGTGACAGGCTTGGCGATCTCGATACTTTCCTGTGATGGGCCGCTGAGACTTTTCCATCATGTATTGGGCATCCCAAGTCCTGTGGCGCTCGAAGGACTTTTCTTTTGCTTAGCTGTGCCATGTGGAAGCGCATGTAGATCCCGTGAGGTGGTGTGGCGCTCGATATTTGGCGAGCTGAATCAAGGTCACTCTCTCTTGTTCTGCACGGCCGCAAACTGTCGTCATGAGACCTCCTCTGGAGCAGCAAGATGCCTCAGCCGCACCCAAGCATGGCTTGTCTCTTCCATTTCTCTGCTCCAGTGCTAGCCTGCGTTTTACTCTGCAGCCCACCTTTTTTCGTTCGAGCCTCAGCTTTGCTTGCACCCGTACACTGCTCACCCGCCGTCATCAAGCACACATCGATCTCAGCGAAAGTGATCGTGGGCTGACTGGGTAAGACGTTCTTCGTCTATCGTGGCCAATCAGCCATTACCATCATGCTTTGTTTAAAGTCTGTTCATACGTTGGTCGGTAACTCTACACAACGTAGCGAATCGACTGACGTCTTCGTGGGATCCATAGAGTCTAGGCTCTATTCCGAGTCCGAAGCTGTGTAAGGCTTTCAAGGAGGTGTGTTACACAAAAGCGACTGAAGTCACTCGTCGTTGTGGCAGTGCCCAAAACCACTCACTGCGTTTCCCATAAAGGCAAGTAAGTGTTGCCTGTGAAGTCCTGTGCTAGTGCAACCTCTGCGAAACTTCGTCTAACCCTTCCTCTTTGAAGTTTTTCTATATTCTGCTCCAAGTTTGTACCACTTTTTCTCACCCTACTATAGCGCATTATGTCAGTACCAGAAGGGCTCATCATCTCGCAACCGGCAATCTACGACTGTTTCAAAGACAGACCTGAGATCGAACCCAACAGTGACATCTCTGGCCTTGGTGTAAGTGCTATCGACTGCCAACCCAGCTGCGCCGGCTCGGCGCATGTTGCGGTGGTTGAAAAAAAAGGGACACGGGTTGATAACTGGCTGCGTCTTTAGATTCTTGCTGGATTTTTGGGAACAGCTTACTTGGCGGTTGTCATCATCACGGCACACTTTTTCCTAGCCTACGATCCGAATAAAAGTCCCGACCATGGGATAGTTAATTCTGACCAAGACTGCGAGACGCAACAGCTACAACCAAGCAGAGTGCAGAGTTTACGTCGGTCGGTGACTTCATCGACGAATGCCATCAACAATCTGCACTCCGAAGGACCAATACAGCGCCGTAACGAAGACGAAACCCCCTCTTCCAGCCAGTTCGGAAGTCTAGCACTTCAAGAGGGTGTAACGACACCACACCAGACACAATGCATTTGTGAGGCTGAATGCGACAAAAAGTGGTCTCCCAATCCTATTGATCAGCTCATTTTCGGAAACGATTTCGGTCGGTGGCTCTTTCCGAAGCGATCATCGTTACAGGATCCGGATCCATTCGCACGAGATATGCGAAAAGCCTTTGACCATGTGAGAGCAGCCCACAAACTCATCCCACCTTGCCGCAATCTGACAACCATCTGCACAGTACATCCTAGCCTTCTGCGACGGTCAATCAATTACCGGCCTTGCGATCTTATTAAGCGCCTTCGCGACGCTGGGTGGGCCTTCCGGCATATCTGCGTATCACTGGCAGATCGCTGTCCTCTTGGCATGGCTTGCCAACATCACGCACCTCGTTGGTCTTACGTTCTTGCAGGGGTACTTGCGTCAACGACCTTTGCATCGAAACGTCCGTCTGGTTCCTACAACAATATTGCTAATCCTCCTTCTCGTTGCGCTCTTCCCTACCGGATGGTTCAACTGGTCGTATTTGGACAGGCACTGGGGTGCCAATCCCGCAAGCCCTTCCTCCTACGCTCGCTGTTTCTTCAACGTCCAGACTGCTACACAGAGAGCACTAGACTCAAGCGATATGCGTGTCGGCTTTCCGGAAGGCTCTGGCTCGTCAATGATCTTTAGTATGCTTTTTCTGAGCACGAGCTTTGGAATTCGCCTCATCAAGCTATCGCGTCGCGCTTCCAATTTCTTTCGAAATGTGGTTCGACGTAGTGCTCGTCGACGGCTGCGTCAGCTTGCACTGAATACCATGGCCCGTTTTGAGACAGCATCTCCCAGACTGAACTTTGTCCGCCAATACTTCTTCGTCAATTTCCTCATCGCCATACTCATGACGGCACGCATATATACGGATGTGGCAACGTCGACCTTCTCCGAGGTTCTGTTCGCCTGGGTAGCGATTCTTTGGGTAACTATCCGCATTTTCGCGACTCGAGCCTCGGTGCATCTTGACGAAAATGACTTTACATTCGGTCAGATTGTTGCCGTCCTGCTGCTCATTGGACCTACCACCACCGCCGCTTTGACCGCCTGGCCGCTGTTGCCACGACGTCGTACGCCTCAGGACTGCCGGCGCACCCGTCTAGCCCCTTTTTCATGGCTGAAAGAAGGGATCGTTGCTTGGGGAACATCTTTCAGCACCCCCCAATACAGATTTGACGCAAACGAACCAATCAACCACGTCATGTGTCACCACAAGAAACCGCTCCAGTTGGCGAACAAGTCTATGAGCTACCGAGCTCCCTGGACCGACGTCATCGTGTTCATCGTCATGGTGAACCTTGTCGGGTGCTCAATTGCTAGCATCAGGCATACTACTCTCTTCATGGAACACACCCCCAATGGTCTTGGTTTTGCCAAAGCTGTGGAATTTTTCTATTCAGCGTTGATCCTTGTTTTATGCGTGGTGCTACTAAATCTCTATGGAGTAGCTACAGTGTCGGGAGAAGACGTTACTGGCAGTGATCCAAATGGAGAGCCGAACTACATGCCAACTGTCTGGTCCAGTCGTCTTGGGCCGGAGTCGGCTCGTACTGCTTTTTTTACTGTTTCTTGTGTGTGTAATCTTCTCCTGCTCACTATAAGTGTCACCAGCAGCAGTGTTCGTCATGCCTTTCTTCTAAGCCTGACTGTTCCTGTTGGTCTACTGATCATCTATGTAGTTTCTTGCTTCATGAGTTTGATAACGCCTTAGACTGTAGTATAGTTACTATAGTTTAGTTTCAGCAGAGGTGTTTTGCAATAGAGATTCATATGGGATTTTCTATTTCCGTGAGCTTTTCTCATGCTAAGCTCACTGGTACGATTACAGATCTTAAAGGAATCACTAGACGATGAAATACGATACCTTGCACTAGGTATTGGCTTCCAAGGAAAGAAGCAGCCGCTAAACTTTGACCCGAAACACGGAAATAGAGCTGCTTTAATCCTGCACATGAACTTAGCACCCTCATGCGAAACATTTTACTCACACCACCGTCAGGACAAGCGGGACGCTCATCTTGCAAATATTGTACTTGAATGTCCTATTTAGATGCTAGCTTGTCCGTGAAGAATTTCCTTTGGGCCATAGGTTTGACGCCAGCCCTCGCGTTATTTCTGGTCCCGCCCTGTTTGGCTGCTCACACAACGACCGCAGCAGCTTCCAGAAGGAAATCCAGGCATACTTGCAAAAATATGCCTCAAATCGTGAGATACTCTCTCAAGCATTGGTCAAGGTTTCCCAGCCGACAAAGAGTTTATTCGTACCAGCTGGCCGCTGATTCAGAGTCAATTCCTCTGTGTATGGCATGTCATATCCCAAACGGCCCGACAGGGCGCGGAATGACACTTCCGTTACTGTAGATGTGATGTCAGATGTCTAGTCCTACTACGTCCATAGGGAGGACAGAAAAATTGCATACCTGGCCCAAAATAGAGAGATAGTGTCTTTCCAGGGCACAGCCACGTGGGCTTCGGTTCTCCGAGGTGATATTTCGAATGAAACTCTAGAGCGTATCGCAATCTAGTACCGGTTTCCTCATTGAATAAATCGCGTCCTTGTATTCTCGATGTCTCAGCAACATGACCGATAGAGGCAAGGCCGTACCCTGTGTGTTCGAAGTCTCTGCACGTCTCCTGGGACAGACCGCTGACGTTGAACACAGACTGGCCCTGCCAGTACGTCACGATCCCGGCCTGCGTACTCGTCGTCGTATCTCCAGGTGCTGTTTTTGGAAGATCGCCGTCGCTCTCCAGGTAGACGTAGGCCGGCACTCGGTTGAGGAACTTTGTCATGCCAGCATCATAGATGGTCTGGTCATCAAGGAATACACCGATGAAGATTGCGGCTTCCGCCATGACAAGATCCCAGTTACCCATGTAGTTTGGTGCGCCATTTTTGACGAGAGGTAAGTAGACATTACGCAACATGCCCTCAAACTTTGTAATGCTGGCAGCACTCCAGCCGGCGTCTGAATATCTGATCAACTCTGCGGCGCGGGCCCAGGTTGAAGCGACCCAACCAGACTGCAGTGGCGAGTTTGTGTTGTTGTGTGCTTTGATGGTGGATGCCCAAGAATCCATAAACGTGATGGCCTTGTTTGCGTATGTCTGCGTGCCTGTGACTGTCCATGCCAGGGCATTCAAGTACGTCACCATGGCGTCTTCTCTTTCATCCGAACAACCAACGTCAGGTGTAGAATATGATCCGCACTCTACTGTTGAGACGGGCTCTGGGGCTGTCTTGGAGGCATAAGGGTGCGCCAGCATGGAAGTGTATGCTGGAGCCCACGGAGCAGCTGACTGTGATACCTTGGTCCTAATGAGCTCTGCTTGTGCTTCGTCGATGAGGATGCCTGGGTGGACAAAGTTCGCTCGAGGCTGGACGGAACCAGGGAGACCCATGGCCAAGTGCCAGAGGGCACATGAGGATAAAACGATGTAGCGGTGAGGGAGCATCTTTACTATCGTGTTCTGCTGTTGGGTTTGTGGTGTGCCATGGAAGGTAGAGTGATGGGTTCCGCAAAGACTTTTATGAGCCCTTCCAGCTCTAGCATCTTGCTTTCAGGAGAACTTTCTCTGCTTCAGGGGCTACTGTAACCATTTGCCAAGCTTGCAAGGAGAGCTCTAATGTAACCTGAAACGTTTACGATTTGTTACTCACTTTAGCTCTCTAGGGTTATCTTGGGGGTCCGACTGATGCTGGATGAAGCATTCGAGAGCAACCTCTGTAAACAGATTTGGTCACCATGCTGCCGAGGTCTGACATAACTACGTTACATGACCCGTCATGGTAATAAATCAGAAGATCAGCACGCCAACTTGACCAGGGCTGGATGATGGTCTCGTGGCGCGCATGGAGCACGTATCGTGTGATTGTTATCTGCAGCTGTTCTCGAGTAACATGCTGTTTTGTGGCTTGGGATCGCCGTAACTGTGGCCGAGAGCAGCCTTATCATGCTCCCACTTACTCCGCACTTTGAACGCCTCAGTCCACCTTTTGGTGCGAAGTGACGCCTGGGCAGATATTTTGACATTGCGGGCCCGGCCGTTCGTCCGACTCCGAACACCGGCCGGAAGTACTCACCCACGACATGGTCGAATTGCCAGGAGCCCGATTATCGCACGGATGTTACATCAAGCTACGTATTGATGGAGAGATGTAACCTCGCTACGGCGATTCGATGCAACAATGCGAGGTTGGGTCGCCCTCTATCATGAGCAAGATTGGTTCGGATTTGTGTATACAAATAGTTGTAGGCATCGAAGCTGATGGCAATGATGAGTCCTTACCAGTCTCAGCAATCTCAGTCATCACAATTGCCACCCTCATCATGCTCGTTCCACAGCGCAGTCAAAACAGCCAGGTCTCTCTGCGTCTCTGGCCAATCTTGTTACTAGCTACACTGGCCTCTGGACGTCCATCTTCATACTATGTTGATTGCGGGGCATCCTCGCCGGGCAACGGCACTGTTGAAGGGCCTTGGAACTCTTTCGATGAACCCAATGAGTTCGTTTTCGCACCTGGCGACACTCTGGCTCTTAAGTCCAACGTAACTTGCAAGGGAAACCTGTCTCCGAAGGGGAGCGGCACCTCGAGCCAGCCCATACGACTGACATCGTACCCAATCGACTCGATCTTGGGTCCGCCAGTCATTCATGCAGACGGAGCCAACTCATCACTGTTGCTCACGAACCAAGATCACTGGCGCATCACCAAGATTGCCTTCACCAACCCGGCGAGCAACGTTGCCAGGCGCCAAGGGATCACGATCCTCGCCAACGACGGGGGTGTTCATTACGGCATCACGATCGAGGACAACACGATCTATGACGTGGCAGGACAGACCAACAAGACTGGCGAGCTCAGTTCAGACTTTGCCAACTCGGCCGGCATCCTCCTCAGCGCCGTCAATGGGAGCCGCTATGACGGCGTCGCCGTTCGAGACAACACGATCAAAGACTGCGGCGGCGGCGCCATGAAGATCCGGCCCGGCCAGATCGACAACCAGGGCAGCAACATCCGCGTGTCCTACAACAAGATGGACGCCTGCGGCGGCGACGGCATCGTCGTGCAGTACTCCGATGCGCCGAGCCTGGACCACAACGTGGCGTCGAACCTCGGCAAGGGCAAGTACCCCTGGAAGGGAGGCAACTTTGCCGGCATCTGGGTCATGGCCTCGCACAACCCCGTCATGCGGCACAACGTCGTGTACGGGAGCATCATGAGCCTCCACGACAGCACGGCGTTTGACTGCGACTGGGGCGTCACGGGCACATGCATCGTCGAGTACAACTACAGCCACGATAATGCCGGCGGCGCGTTCCTCGACTGCGACGGCTGTGGTGTCTCCGGGGGCGCGAGGCAGATTGTTCGCTACAACATTTTCGAAAACGACTGCCGCATGATCAGCGTGTCGGAGAACTCGACGCTCGAGTTTTACAACAATGTCATGTACTGCGCCGACAGGGACTTTGAGCTGCAACTGCCGCAGAACGCGACCAAGATGACGAACAACATCTTTGTCGGGCGTGAGAATTCAACCCTGCCCGTGGCCAGCAACATCGTATGGGAAAACAACCTCTTTCACGGTCTGATGCCACCCACCGAAGACGGGCACCTCGGCGACCCGCTCTTCGCAAGCCCGCGCACTCGCGGAAGCACGCTTGGGGCAGGGTTTGGGTACAAGTTGCGGGCAGGCTCTCCAGCCATAGGAAGCGGCATTGCGATCAAGGACAATGGGGGTAAGGATTATTTTGGTAGGAGGCTGGGTGGTGCTACGAAGCCCAACATTGGACCCTATAGTGACAAAGGCATCAATTGAAGTCACCACTTTGGATACAGGACCCAGATGAAGGAGTATTGGCAGGTCTGTACAAGGAATAGATAGACAGCAACTTCATCTGCAGTTCTTGGAGTACGAATTAAGCACGCAGTCAGCTGCTCTTCGCGTGATAGATATTTGCCTGTGGAAGAGAGAAAAGATGTGGAATTGATGGCGTGCCATATCGGTCACCAGATCGTAGAAGCTGGAAACAGGTCATGATTGATGGTCATGATAGAGGCGAGCCGATAGCGACTGGAACGGAGCAACTAAACCGGGGTTGGAAGATGGTCGAAAAGAGGCAGAAGGTGGTGGACCTCCTAACGAGAGCACATCGAAAGATAGTCTATGGAGAGGTATTGGTTCCTCCGACCATTGGGTATCGACCTGAGCTGACTATTGGACCCGGTGCTATGTCTTATTCTATATATACTGTTGATCTAGTGGTATAAATTTTGGTTCGCTATTGACATTTTCTGTTGCTCTACCGTCGATCCTCTGATGATAGTGAGTTCGGCAGTTTGGCGGTTGCTGGCTGTACAGTGCCCGTTATGAGCGAGATGGTGGTCCTAAGCGGGGTAAGATTGCTCACTCGAACCTGCAACCGACGTGAGTAACTGGCCCACCAAGATCAGGAGGTACCCCAAATTCGTACGTGTCTTGTACGGTGATCAAGCCGATTCCTCCCCCTCGTCATACGATATAAGCCACTCTAACAATGGAGTGCTTTTGTCATAAGCTCTCAACCCATCAATTTCACGACATCACTGAGTCTGAGGTGAGGCGGCGACTATCATCCTCGTGAGACGGGGTTCTCAAACAATTGTACTTCAAGACTGTAATTCTGATAGCCTGGGCTGGCTGGGCTCAACATACAACATGGCAGCGGTAGCAGGCGTCCGAGGCGACCAGAATATTGAAGCCCAGCAACTCATTCGGCGAATCTTTTGCTACGGCTTTGCGCTGTTGCATCAGAAACACTTGTCTGTCAACCCGGATCGTGCAGAAAATTAAAGATGCGCTGCCGCATATCCAGAACACGATTCGGCACAAGGTCTATCATATTACCCGTATCGGGGAGAACTGGAAGGAAATTATCGGGGATTTCGCGTCTTCCACGAACGTGACCCGCAGCACCTCAGAGGACTGCTCTGCCTCTTTTCGTCAGCGTCCACGTGAGTTTGGCCGGCACTCTGGCCAGCTTCCTTACTCATCAGCCTCCAGCTGGGAGAGAGCAAAACCCGAGGACCGTCAATCTGCCCTCGCAATTCTCTCTACGACCACAGACATCCGCGAACGGACTCTGCAATGCACATCTGCCATCCAGAAAGCCCTAGACTAGATGTTATGTACAGCCTCCCGAGTCTCGTCTTATTTTTTATACTAAAGAGTCTCAGTGGAACACTCTTTCGTCGAGAAGACGCGCGGGATCACGTCACGTTCGCAATCTCTCCTGGGCACAACGGCGATGCCTCAACCCAGCCGCAGCAGCCTACCTACTAGGGCGGTGCCCGCAAGAAGAGATTCGAATGCCCCATCAGGAGCTCAATCAGCTTTGAATTCCTCCCTAGCGGCTGTATCTGAAGCCGTTGGGTTGGGCGGCACGTCTTCGGAGGACGCTAAGATCTTGCTGCTCCTTCTTTCTTTCCTCTCGACATCCGATAAGATCCCCTTGGATCTCTTCTGTGGAGCTATGACACGCAAACGCTGGACCGCACAAGGCGAGATTCAAGAGGTGGATGCAATCCACGTTGGCCTTGCTCCGGAACTTCGCAATTTGCTCTCGGACAACCCAAGATTGCGCAACGCCTTTCACCAGCTCGACTTGTTGTCGACCGTTGCCAAGGACCACGACCAGACCTACACCTTGGACACAGCTGTCGCGAGTCGTGTTCGTGAGAATTTAAGTGCAAGAGACTCGTCATTTTGGAGGTGCCAGGCCGTCATTGTTGCGTATCGAGCAATCCCATGGAAGTACATCCAGTCTGCGTAAGTCAAAGCCAACGAAGAGGTCATCCATCCATCTAACACGGTCACAGCACTCCGAACACGAAGTTGTTCCTACCGCACTTCAAGCATGCCCTAGAGGCATTCCAAGATTGCTATGATTCCCTACCTGCCAGCACCAGAGTCGACCTTGGGCTCACCCTTGTTGAAGCATCTCGGTTTCCAAATATGGCATGGAAACGCTTTGCTGTTGGTCAAGCAGAAATTGCTTCGCGTGGTCTGGATGACTGGTACTTATCCTGTTGCATTGCACAATCACAAAGCCCCCTGAGCCGGATTGCCGGAAACATGGACCATGCCGCCAGCACCATTAGCGATTTCGTCCAAGGCCGGGCTGGGAGTGCTGTGGACAAGAGAATGTGTTCAGCAATCGGCCAGGCGACCATCCAGCGCTCCTTGAACTGCATTCAGGTGGAAGACCTTTCTACCGCTGAGAGATGGTTGGAAGGCTGGAGCCCTCTGGACCAGACACTGTCCGTACTTGAGAAAGTGGTATTACTTCGCAAGCACATGATACTTGGAAGGCTCCTACGGTTCCAAGGTGCGTTTACAGAATCACTGACGTGTTTGAAGAACGCGCAGACAACCATAGGGCAGTGCAAAGACCTCATCTTCGATGAAGACCTC